CACTTCTTTTGACACTTGTTAACTACACACCCCACTGGTCTCCATGGGTAACTCTAACCATGATAAAAGACTAGGAAGACAAGAGCGAAAGATAAAGGGGTGGAACAGCTCAGAGAAATTAGCACTGAAAGGAACAATGTTAGCAAATGCACAGGGCCACAATCCAAAGGTTTGGAAAAGATAAAGAAGTTTTCCTTTTCTTCAATAGCCTCAGCCAAATGGCCAAATTTCAGGGCGCTACATCTCAGCAGAATATTTTGCAAGGGGGAATGAGGTACAAGTGGGCAGTGGTTGAAGCACAAAAAGGACCAGCAGCATTCACCTATTTTGTAGGAGACCATTGAGAAATACGACAAGTCAATACTGACCATTTCAGGGGAGACTCACATGATAACTCTTTATTGCTGCAGAACTCTAGATATCTAAAGGATTCCCAGTGCTGTTCCATGAAGCAGACTATATGAAAACCTTTTACATATTCAAAATAGCTTTTAAAAATATTTTGTATTCTCGGGAGCACTAAGTGTTTCACCCATGAAAATAAGTCTTTAAAGTTGGTAGGGAAAGAACCCTTTACAGATGGAGGACCTGACGCTGAAGGAGGTGAGCTGACTGCAGGAACCACCACAGGAAGACTATCAGGCACAGCCAGGGGCTGAAATGGCCTCCAACTTGCAAAGATTGTTAACTGTGCATAAAAGAGAATCTGAGAGTCGCCTGTGAGCTTACACCTGGCCCCAGCAGAGCTTGCTCATCAGCATTCCACGCTGGACCTCAGAAAGCTGGGGAAGCAATTTTGCAAGCACAGGAAAATAGACAAATTTCTTTCCTTCAAGCCTAATCTGATGATTTAAATCTATCTATCCTAATGCCTCTCCGGTGTTCTAACCATCTTATGCCTTTTAAGAGCACTTCTGCAGGGAGTTAACACTAGTAGCTTCTCTTCTGATTACACACATCTGCCACAAAATAGCAGGTGCCTTCCAGACACAATGAATTTCTAACAGGAAATTTGCAAAAGGTTTTGAAAGCTGGTGGGTTAAAACATATCTTAGGTTTTCTCAGACTTTGGGGAAAGAGGCAGGAAAGTTTGTTTACAATTTAACATCCTTCAAACAAAGGCATCAGGAAAATGTTAATCTCGTGGAATTTCTGGCTGAAAGATAAATTAAAAAAAATTAAACAACCACCAAGGTTAAAGGGTAATTTTCAAAAAAGGTTAAAATCACGCCTCTCATTAAATACAAAAATGAACACTTTTTTTTTTATTTAACTCATTAATGAGAATAATGTAAGATACGATAATCAGCTCAAAGGAGAATTCAAACAGCAGGCACCTTTATAGATCTGGAAGAATAAAACAAATGTTTAAATGGGAGGCAAAACTCACCTTTTCCACTGTGGCTAGGTAAGTCAACTGAACCTCTGTGGGACAGAATTTACACATCTACACCAAGAATTATTTTGTATTACTATCAGTTATCTACAACATACAGAGTTACAAAAAAGCTCTGAAGGATCAGAATCAGATAACCCAAAATGTTGTGCTATTGATGATGCATAGTTTTCCATGGAAGCACAATTTTTTCCCTACACAGATCACTGACCATCTTATTTATTGCTGCATTCCCAAAACCTGGTACAGGGTAAATGCTCCATAAATATTTGTTAGGTGGATAAATGTCTACTGCGTATCAGGCATTAAGCTAGGCCCTTCACACGCATCATCCCATTTAATCTTCCCAACAACCCTTTAAGATAAAGATTATTCTCATTTCACTGATGAGAAACTAACTTGTGTGGTGTTGTCCAGCTATTATTACTTGTCAAAGACTGGAGGTGAGGACCAGAGGGGAGACGTTGACTCAGGTCTATGATCAGACAGCCCATATTCTTTGTCTTCTTCTTTCCATTTAATATATGTCCTTTTTATTTACCATCACTATACCATCTGCCTCTAAATTAGGGGATTGTTTGTATGTTACATTGATATAACATGCTTCCTTGATGAGCATGATATTGGAGATCCTTACTTTAAGAAAAATAAATGAACAGCAGTATTCAAGAGAATCTAAGCATAAATGAGACACAAGAACATTCTTATTGTAGCCTTGCAGAGAAACACAGGGTATTTACCAGCCCACTTTCCCGTCCCGCACTTAGATGGTCATTTCCCAATTTTTAGGATAAGATAGATGTTTTCACAGAAATCAGAATAGCACTTAGGAAAACAGCGGCGGCTAACATTCAATACTTGCTTACTATGACCGTAAACTACTCTCACAGCAACAGTAGGAGGTGGGTATTATCATCTCCTTTTTACAGGTAAAGAAAGCAGAAGCATACCGAGTAACCTGCACAAAATCACACAGCTAAGTTGCAGCTCTGGGCTTTGACTTGGCACTTGTAACCACTGCCCTGCCCTCACCCTAAGTCACTCTACTGCCTGCACAGGGTGTTGAGGTTTGCTCCTTCATCATGTCTTGATTTTTCCAAACCTCCTTGCCCTGTTTATCACAGCCTCCAAGGGGACCAGGATGCCCAAAGTTTCTAGCATCCTAGGGCTTGTAACTGCAGGCTGGCTTAAGTCCTGAAATCTATTTTCTGGCCACTTGGCACTTGTGATCATTTGAGTACTTTACATTCACCCTTGGATAGGCAGGGGCCAGAAAACAGGGGAGAACAGCGGGCTTCTGAGGCCTCAGATTGGTGAAGTCAAAAAGACATGGGCCAAATGTTAATCCAAAATCACTCTCTCTGTTCTCTAAGTTCCCAAATAATTCCCTGCTGTCTTTTCTTGCCAGGAAACAGGCTGCCCTTAGAATGAAGTAGTGGTAGGTATGCTTCTAGACACCTCCAGATGAGTCTTGACATGTAAGGTGCAATGCTGGCATGTAGATGGTGTCAATAAATGGTCCTCTTAGCGGTTTTCTTACATTATTTCATTTAATCTTCACAATAACTCTGAGGCAGGTATTATCATTGTCTCTATTTTGGAGATGAGGAAGTCAAGTTAAATAACTTGCTCAGCTTAAGCAGCTTGCCCGAGATCCCAAGAAGGTTGCAATTTACCAACACCAGCAATGTCTCATGGAGACCAAGTGTGCTACCAAAAGCAATATGACAGCTGTTTGAAACCCCCTTTCCTCATGTCACTTAGCAGAAAGCCTTGGGAAGTAGTACCATTTACTCCATAAGCATTGAAGCATGAGATCTTTATTTCTGCGGGGCGTAATGCTCACCCTCTTCAAACCATTATAAATGCTCACCCTTCCCTCAAGAGTATCTCGTAACTCTCATCCCTAATAAAAGATAACACTACTTTCAAATAAGATCATGAGAAAGGCTTTGCCATTACTATCACCCAGGCATTAAGAAACATTAAGCAGACACTATCCAATGAAGGCTACCGTAATCAACGAAATGGTTACTGATTGATTACTTTTCGGGGTGAAATGACTGACTCTGTATAGAATTTTCTTATATTCTTATGGGAGGGACTAAGAAAAAAACCTAGACACTTCAAATCTAAGCTAAGTAATGACACTGCCTTCAGGATTTCAGGAATTTCATCCAAAAGGGCCATTATCTGTAGTTGGAATCAGAAAGAAAGGGCAGTAAAGACCATTTTAATACTTAAATTAGGAGGATTTCATTCTGTTAACTCAGCTTGAGATGCACTTGAGTGTGTTCCTTATATATTTAAACATTACCAACTCGGTCAGCAGGAATCTATGATAATCTAGTTCAGTGTTTTTTTAAACATTATTTAGTATTAGAACCCTTTTATCCAAATCAAGTTGCCTGTACAATTTGAATATGTAAAACAGACATAAAAGGAGTGGCTTTGGTCGACATACTCATCTCAACCCAAATCTTGCCCCTTTAGCAGCCTCTAGTGCACCCAAGGGCTCCATGGAACACACTTTGAAAATCACCCATGAAGTCCTGCCCTAAGGAGGTGTGGTCTTGCCCAGATCTGAAAGCTACAGAGTAAGTACTGAACTGCAAAAATAAATACTTTCAGCTTAACGTGCTCCTTTCAAAGTAACAGGGTGAATAGAATATAGAGAGATTAATCACAATTTCTAAAGATAGAAAGTATGAGTTTAAAAAGAGGCTTGGCATCTAGAGTGCTGAGCTACTCAAGAGCAAGTCACTTTCCCACTAGAGTATCAGTTTTCTCTTAGAAGAAAATGAAGACTCTGGAATAGAATCAGGATTTTACACTTTTCCCACTGAAGCACAGTTTTGGTGCACAGAGCAGGTTCTTCAGTCCTATCTTTCAACACAGCATTTGCAAAGGAGGAGAGAGGGAGGAATGCTAACCACACATAAGCAGAATCTCAGGGCAGCAGGGCGGGGAAGTCTGGAAAAGACCCCCTTCCTCTGACGGGCTCCCACGGTGGACCCATCCACTCCCTGATGCCCATCCCATCCTCCAATTGAGAGATTTGATCCTAAGGCCTTTTACATATAGTTCATTACACTGTCATCTTTTCTGCTTCCAAGTGCTTCCACAGATAATACTCAAAGCTCCTTGGTCTAAATGGAGTCTTAATTTGCGCTTTGAAGGTATTCATTTTAGGGGCAGTGGGTTAATATTAGTATATTCACCTCATAATTTTCCTATTCAGAAATCTTTTCTACTTAGAACATCCACCTACTGATCCTGTAACCAAGTTACTCTGAAAGACTTCCTCCCTTTCTTTCCTCTAGGATTGGTACACTCTTATTTTCTCTAGAATCTCCTAACCCCTTACCCTGATTCCCACATACTTCTCTACTGGACTCTCAAAATCGATGCTTCTCTATGATAACCATTTATGCTTGTTAAGGAGCATGGCTCACATGGTTCTGGAATTTATCATCCCTTTTAAAGTAAACTCAGGGCAGAAAATTTCAGCAGGATGATGCTGTTTCATGGTAAGGGTATGGGAAAGGCCATGGTGATGGGAACGTGAGAGGGAGTGAAATATTTTGGATACTGCATACTTTACCCGTTATGTCATGCTGTTTGAATGACTCGCTGTAGATCTGATACTGATTTGGACAATGTTTCTTCAACCACTTGCAGACATCCTGCTGAGTCCACAGAGCCACAGGTTTTGACAGCTTCACCGTAGCCGACTACAAATAAAGAACGAAAATAAGGTCTGTTAACGCCAGCCCCATGCCTAGAAAAGCACTACTGTTAGAAGTCCTAGAGTAGGGTGAAGGCTACAAGTTGGATTCCCTGAAGATAAATGTCTGGCTCTTATCCTCTCCCTCATTCTACAGACCTTCTCCACACCCCTGAAAACAAGAAAACGTTGAGCTGGAGAAGGCCATGAAAACCACACTCCTTCTCAAGTTGTCATCTCTCCTGGGAAAAACTCCCCAGGAAGTAGAGAGTTCATCAGAAAACATTAACAACAAGACAATGCAGTTGCTAAGCAATTAATTAGATTTTAGGGACGAAATAGCTGCTCCCAAGTGGCCTTTCTCTGTATTCCAAGAAAGTGTCCATTTCTTGTTGTCCTCTGGTATCTCTAGGGCCCAGTACAACTGGGCCCAGCAGGTGCTAATAGTTCATTTAGGAATGACTGTTATAGGATTTAGACACCTGCATCCTGAGCAGTGCAAGTCAGCCTGGGGGCTCTGGACTTAGGCTGGTCCTGTAAAGTCTAGGAATTAGTTATGCCACAGTGGGGAAGCAAAAAGTCAATTCTCCCAGCATGTGGGGAATGGTAATAAGATAATAGGGTAGCTAGACTTCATGCAGAAGCCAACTAGCCAAGGCCTCTTATTGTTCACTGGATCTTTCAGGGAGGTGTTTTCACAAAATAAAACAAAACATAGAGGTGCACAGGACCCAGCCTTTGACAGATGGCAGGTTACAAATACATTCATTCATTAACAAGCACCAGCTCTGTGCTAGATGCTGGTCTTCCTCATGGATCCCAGGAACTTGGCTGAGGCAGATAAAAGCTATCTATAACTTTTATCATTCTCAATCAGTGTTTGCCAACAAAGTAGGATCATAATATTGATAGCTCTTTAAAGGATGCTGCCAAAGGGTGAACAGATCTGGCCTTAAATATCACTGACCTTTTCACTAGGGATCATTCTCTTTCAATCTTTCAGATTAAAGCAAAAGGGAGAACCTCAGTTTTTCATGAGCGTGATTTAACATCTTTCTAACATCTGCTAACATGTTTTTTTGACAAAGAGAGGGCTCACTTCGGCCTCAGAACCTTTATCGGAAAGCGATAGATCTAACATCTAACAACTGTCTTGTTTTATTATATTTAAGGTTGCTTTTATTTTATGGCAAACTAATTATGGAGAAAAATAAGTTTTATTTTTGGTAGTAATAGATAGTTTGCTTTTAAAAAATTTGAATAACAGGCTAATTTAAAGAAAAAAATTAAGATAATAGGACAGATGGTAACAAGATAATAGTAAAACTAGTGGAAGTGATACGTATGTGATTCGAGTTTAGAAAACAGTGCTCAGGTGTTATTTTTTATTGGTCTATTTCCACTTGTATGATTCTTTGGGCCATCACTTACAAAATAGTCACAAACTCTAGTACTTAATCACTTTTTACTTTGTGATCAGGTAACTTTTTCCTTTCACTCTTATGAAGTATGGTACATTACACTTTCCAAAGATGATTTTATATGTGTACATATATACACATACATACATATCTGCTTTGTGTTCATTGTGACTGGCCTTCTTCCACTGATATTTGGGGTTGATATTCCCTCCCCTTGAATTTCAGCAGGGTCTGTGATGCTACTGGCCAATAGAGTCCAAGAGAATTGATGCTATCTATGTCACTTCTGAGGCTAGGTTATTAAAAAGATACAGCTTATGCCTAGCTCACTCTCTCTGGCACTCACCTTTGCAACCCAACCACTATATTGTGAGGAAGCCCAGACCATGTGTAGGAGTTTTGGCTAATGCCACAGCTAAGTTCTCAGCTAACAGCCACCACCAATCCCACCAACCATCAGAAAACAAGTAAATAAGCTTCAGATGATTCTAGCCACCAGCCTTTGAATCTTCCAGCTGAGGCCCCCAGACACCATGATGCAGAGACAAACCATCCCCACTGTGCCTCAGGTGAACTCCTGACCCATATAATCCACAAGCATCGTAAACAGTTGTCTCCCACCACTAAGTTTTGGGGCAATTTGTTTTGCAACACCATAACTGGAACACTAAGTTATATGCTCAGTGAGGATAGAACTGTTACATCTGTGCTCCTCAGAGTGCCCTGCATTTAACAGATGCTCTATGCAACCACAATGAATAAGGGAATGAATTAATGAAATGAAACCATTCTCACTGAGTCTGGGCTCACACATCTGCTTTACTATTTATTTAATCAGCAGTGAATTTCAAGTCTGGTCTTTGCTGATCTCCACCCACTGTGTGTTGTGCTCTCATGGCTCCTAATCAAACTTGTCAGCCTCTTCCTTCCACCCTACATCCTTGAGTCAGGCTGCCAGTCATCTTCCCTCTAACCTCTGTGTGCAACCATATCAATTGCTTTCTTCATTTTATGAGAGAGGAGGACCTCTGGCATAGATGATACAAGCCAGTAAATCTTTTGTTATTTAGTTTTCCCCTTTTTGCCTGTTATCACCCTCCTTTCCTTTGCATGATTAGGAAGCTAGACTTTTGGCTCTTTTAGCTGGAAATGCACTTTCCACCAAGTTTCACAAGTCAGCACCTCTGAATCTGTCTCCTTCCTGCTCTAAAAATTTTCCTTCAGATGAGTTGAATGAGTTCAAAGCTGACACATCATTACCCTGAAACCCCTCGCAAGTTTCTTGCAAGTGAAGCTAATCACATCTTTTAGAAAACCCCCATAAACCAGTCACAGAGGCTGTAAATCAGGAAGGGAAAGGAAAGAGGATAAAGTTGCTTATACATCAATATACTAAACTTCCTGGAAGGTCATTCTTTACCTTGCTCATTTCCTAGGAAACAGAGCTCTCTCAGCACCAAGACAAACCCATTCAACTGGAGATCTGGGGGAGATTAACCCAAACATGCGAAGTCAACTTGTCACTGAAAACTAATTTCCCTAGTAACTCAAAGGAGGTTTCAAAAGCACTTAGTTTCTCAAAGCTGTTTTTTAGTTATGTTAAGAGATGCAATCATCAACCACCCTGAACCAGTCCAAACCCCATTACAAGAGTGACACCTGTGCAGATAGGCTGAGCTTTGTCTAAAAGTTACCTTTGCTTCATTTTAATGCTAAGATTTCCACCCCAGGAGGAGCTTAAGCCTTATTACCATAAGATGTGACACATGTGGAAGCATGTTTTCAAACTGCACCTGTGTGAACGATTACCCACCTCTATGTGTGATGAGGAAACTTCCCTTTTGAATATTCATTCCCCATCGAAAATAAAAGGCTCCTGCTTTCCCCTTGCTCAGAGAGCCACGGCTTTGGAAGTGATTCCCCTGGACTCCTCATTTGCTGCAAATAAATTTTACTTTGTGTGACAACTACTTCTGGTGAAGGCTTTGATTTCAACTCATCAAGAAGCAAACCCATTTTGGTTTGGTAACAAACTTAGAACGCATCCTCACCAGCTCACCATGCATGCTTTTGTTATAAATTTCCTTTCATCATAATTAAGGTGTTCTGAGGCTAACACTCAAGGAGCTGCTTCACTTTTCCTTCAGAATACACTCTAAGCAGTAATTTGTATCACTTGCTTGAACAGCAGAAAACTCAACACTTTAGGCAGATTTTTCAGACTGTATGACCCTACAGGGATATGTCTCCATGTAAACCAGTATAATAAAATTGGGAGAGATAAAGATTTCTACCATTTATAAGCACTGTTTGTCTCTTCTTAATCAGATAGTGATACAAGTACTGGTCCCATTTATCAGTTGATTCTTAGCCTTGGCTTTATTATGAAATTTTTCTTAGTTTGCTACACATTAACTTGCTAATATCCATAATGATTCCAGTTCCCGCAGTCTGCTGCTGCTTTTTGGATTCTCAGATCAGACTTTCATTTGTTCTGCCTGAACTTGTCTTTGTGTAGCACCCCAGCTCAACCTCACTTACTTTTCCTTCTATCATGATACCCTCACACCCAACAGCCATCAAGTTTTGGGAGTGAATGCTATAACCTGATCCTCTAAAGAGTTTTAACTTTATTTCTATGTGCAATTTGGAACAAGTATACGTTAAATTTACATAAATCTTTTTATCATATTGTTCCAGTGGGAGGTGCAGAGTTATCAAATTTTAACAGCTCCACCATGTTATTTCAACCACCTTCCTTTTCTCTGCGACCCAACACTCACACCTCTCTTTATACTCAACTCTAGATGAAAATTTTCTCTAACATGCTGTGTGGGGTTTTTTTCCCACAGTAGGAGCCTAAAACAAAATAATAACAGTTTATCAAACAAAGAGATAGTATTTCATATTCATTAAAAACAATAAACTAATAAAAAAAATCCTGCCCAAAGGCAAACATTAAAAAAAACATTTGCCCCAGTTCTCTTTCTCCATGTTTGGGTACATCATTCTCTGGGTTTACACCCTGAAGACAATTTTGGTTTGTTTTGTTGCCCTGAAAGAGGCCCGAGGCAGTTTGTTATCTTAACCCCTACATACTGTGACACTGAGCAGAATTCCAGGCATTTCTTTTCTGAAGTGGTTCTTGCCTTTCTATAGATAACCTGAAAGCACATTTCTAAAGCCTTTAATTTCTATTTCACAGGAAGATCTCACTTTATGCAAAAGACACATCGGGAAGGGTTGTTTGCAAATTCTTATTATTTTTTAAAAAAATGATTCCTATTTTAATTTAACCATATACAATAATTTCAGCTATGTTTTATAGTAACTTTTGATTTATATTTAACTGGAAAGAACTCAAGTTTTAAGTTAACATAAACTTGAAGATTTTCTGCTAGGTAATAAAAAACTCTACAGAAGTTTTCATATTGAAAGACTATATTACGAACTGCTTTTAAAGTTAAGTTTTATTTTGTAATTCAATTATCCGTTAACTGTTTTGCAATCTAAATTCCCTTTTAATTTACTGGGGTTGGATTTATAAGAGAATACCGCAACTTTAAGCTCCCAAAGGCTGTACAAA